AGTTGGAAGTCTTAATCATGTAGATTGATAGGAAAAAAATACTAAGATATAATTAGACAATAAACCCACACGTGCTCACGTCACCCAAGTTTTTTTAATCTGATCATGGCTTCCTATCTTCCTTTTTTGGTGGTACCTACTCTTGATGCTTCTCCATGGTATATTTCATTAGCTAGGACTAAGGAAACAGAAGAAAGGAGTATCAGAGGATTATTTGGCTTTATGAAAAATAGCACAGCCCTTCTACACAGGCTAGTACTGGAGAACTACTTGTCTGCCACACCTTGCACAGATGGGAACCACTTAGCAGTGTTGGCAGTTGTAAGAAGTATCTCATGTTTTAGTCAGACAAATCCCCACTAAGACCCCAATCCTGAATAGTTTTCTGAAGGTATTCAGCAATTCAGAGTTGCATGGGCTGTAGACCACAGAGAAACATCGTCCTCCTCAGTTCCCAAAACAGCACTAAGATTTAACATGCTGTTACAAAGAGACTCTTACGTAATTTGTTTACATGTAAAATGGAGTGAATGTAAATACACAATTTTAGAGAGAAGCTGCCACCAGTTTTGCAGGTGGAGAAAAAGCTGAAGCAAGAAGTCTGTTGCCGCACGCTCCCCTTCCAACTGACACTGCATTCAGCACCCTGAGAAGTGTTTTCTGACTTGTATATAAATTAAAAAGCAATTCTAAAGTCTTTTATGACCATCTTTTGCAACACTGTAAAGTCTTCCTTCATTTCACAATTTCAGTTTTCACACTGTAAGAATGATTGCAATATCTTACTTCCAGTACTGCAGAGGCACAGGAGAACCCTGCACTGCACACGGGTTATTTCAGTATTGTTATCAAACCGTAACTCTTCACACGGATTTTCCAGCCTCCTGTGCGTCGCCATCATAATTCTGCCTAAATTACCTTGCCTTCACTTGCTTACAAATGCAGAACACTTGACGCTGGGTAGGTAGGAAGACTGATTAATATCAAACTTTTACTTAGATAGGCTTCTACAACTGTACTGAAAAATAGTTTTGAACTACTCAGGAGAAGAACTCTGTCCATAAGTATTACTGACAATGACAAAAACACTGAAGAGGGGGAACACAGCATAAGCATTCTTCTTCCTTCTAGTACAAGCAAGGAACTACCACCTAGATATTATAATTTCTGCTTAATTAAAAACAATCAAACAAACAAACTAAACAACAAAAAAAACCCCCAACAAAACCGACACTATCAAACTAACCTTCTGTTCTATTCTACAGTCACTAACCAGGTATCAGAAAGGTAACTATTTAAGCACTAGATGAACTTTATCATAAAAAGACTATTTAATCCATTACACCAGTTCAAACTTTAGAGAAAACATTTATTATTGGAGAAAACTGCATATGAAGGCTGAAGGCACTTAACTGAAATCAGAGAGGCTTTATTTAAACAAAGAATACATCTATCCACCATCCTGTGCTCTGCCTGATTTACATATATATAGCTTTTAAAATATCACTGCTTTGTTTTAAGCTGCAAGTGCCTCCAGGGAGGAAGGTTACCAACCTTATGATTCTCCACAGAACTCCAATTATTAAGGTATAAAATACTATGAAGAATGAGGATTCTTTTACAATGATTATTACTAAATATACACTCCTGACCAACATAAAAACTATATCCCTCTATAGCATTTCAATTTTCCGAGATGGGTTCTTAGTAAGAGAATCCCAAGCATGTATATGCACGTCCCTTCCTTCAAACAGCTTTTGGACACGCTGGTCAGTGTGAGCAAGAGTTGACAGGGACAGAATTCTCAAGAGATCTTACTCCTTGCCAGGTTTCTCTCCTTAGCAGTGTCCTGTGTTCAGGACACTCCAGCAGCGGCCCTTACCGGAGGGAAAGGTTGCAGCAAACACCTTCTAGTTAGTCAGACACCAAAGAGTCAATGGTGGAAAGATCTGCTGCAGGTTTTCCCCGCAGAAAGGGCAATTCAGAATAAAGCTTACATCACCTATAGGACAAACCTGCAGCAAGCCAGGCTCCACGAATTCTAGAAGTTGTGGAATAACTGATGTGTAATGAAAAATAATCACTACTTCAAACACTAGTTTCAGGAATCAAAACTAAGAGGAAAATTAAAATGGGCCCAGAATTTTGTTAATTCACATAGTTATGCTAGAGGAAGGCAGAAAAAAATATTCCCCAAAATCCAGTGAAAGTTAAATGAAGAATAATACTTGTGAAATAATGAGAAGGTGCATACAAAGGTACTAGGGTAATTTGTTTTTAATCAGTGGATATTTTAGCTTCACATGAATTTGAAATGAAACGCATCTATGTCTATTACAAAGCTGTGAAGTAAGTGAGAATCTGGCAAGCATTTATTGAAGTGTGGACTACCTTTAATTTAAGCCTGAACAAAGTTTGTAACCTTAAAGTCCTGTACAGTTAAGAGAATTTAGTAACTAATTGGAAAAAAAACAGTAGTAGTTCCACATATTTACAGAAACTAAGTAAATACAGAAAAAACCAGTCTTGCTAAAAATAATGAATGCCTATCAAACCTGTTTGCCTTTCTTCTTTGGTAGAGTTGTGCAACTACTGATAATATGCTCTGGTATTTGCACAGACTTCTTTTATTCCAAAAGATCTCAAGCAAACTATTCACTTCACTAGAAACTAACCGCAT